AGTATGCAGGAGGCAGCTGATCGATGTTTCTCTCTCATCGATGTTTCTAACTCTCTATCCCTCTCCCTTCCTCTCTGTAAAAAATCAATAAAATATATTTAAAAAAAAGAATCTGAACAAAGGAGGGGACCAGCGGGCATTTAGTACAGTTTCTTACCTAGCATAGAAGTCCGTGCTTCTATATTCCAGATTGACTGTCACCTGACCTCTGCTTGTTGACTGTAGTGGATCTATGGACCAGCATCATCAGCATCTCCTGGGAATATGTTAGAAATGCAGACTCTCAGGCCCCACTCAGACTTACTGAATAATCAGCATTTCAACAAAATCCTCACGTGATTAATCTACACAGTATAGTTTAAGAAGTGCTAGCATTGGGCAGTCAGGAGTCAGGGCAGTTGGAATTGGTGGAGGGAAATTTAAATTAGGAGCTTATGTGGTTCAGTGAATTACAGAGGGTCTGAACTAGAGCAGTGGAGGGAGGAAAGGAGAGAGTAGACATCATCCTAGGACTCAGTAGCTAATTGGCTGTTTTGGCTGTAGAAGGTCAAAGATGGCAAATTTTCAGTTTGAGAGATGAGAGAATTCATGAAAGTAGGAAGCAAGAGGTTATACAGGGGATATCAATTAATTCACTAAAGCTTGAGGAACAGGCACTATACTACTTAAGAGTTGATGATACTAGAATCAGTGAAGGCATGACTCCTGCTCTTGGTATTTACAGTTATTTAGCAGCAGAGGATGGTTTTACTGAGGATGAATTTGAAATGGTGATGCATGTTAAGCTGAGTGTAGCTATTCATTAACTGGTAAATGACTGGTTTACCATCCGGCTTCCAGACCTCAGTGGGCCATTTTGCTTTCTACTACTCACCATATGTGCGGTTACTCTCAGAAAGGTGATCTAAACATTATTTATTTACTTGGTTTTCTTATAAGAGCCTTTTCCCCCCACACTCAGAATAAATGCTAATGCTGGCTGTGACCATGGACAGAAGTGAAGAGTTCTGAAAAGAATGTTTATATTAAATTTACGAAGTTCTCAGGATGAATGCCTTCTGAATGTCAAGGCTTTCCTATCTGGTATGTGTGTGTGGGAAATTTACATTAACAATTATGATAAAACTTGCAGTGCCTTAATGAAGGCATTTACAGAGTGACAAGGGAACCCAGAAGCCCAACAAACTGACTTTCCCTGGAAGTGGAATGCTTTGGAAAGGCTTCCTGGGAAGGATTCCCTATGTGAATTGGGGACTAGTGTTGCATGAATGGGCAAGTCAGGAAGTAAAGCATGAATGAAAGGGCATGGTGTATGTAGGGGATGGTGAGTAGCTATAGTGGTGAAGTGTCAGGAGATGAGACTAAAAAGGAAGTTGGGTCCAGCTGATGAAAGACCGTACATGATAGGGACTTGATTTGATAAGCAGTGGGAGCTACTGAGCATTTTAAAGTGGGGAGTGACATGTTAGATTTTTGGCAGCCAGCTGGAGGATGGATTGGAGAGGGAGGGAGCTGCTGGAGATTTGGAGACTGCCCTAGCAGGGCCTTTAGTAAATATTTATACCACTATGTTAGGAGCTGGACTACCAAAGAAAGAATGGCCTTGCCTCCACCAATTTCAGCCTAGTAGCAGAAATAAAAATAATTGCAGTACAGAGTACACTACTTCTGAGGTTTGTACATTGTGCTTGTTGTACCAAATAGGGATTTAATTAACTCTGCTCCACTTGGGGTAGATGGGAGATCTGGGTCTCAGTTTCTTGGGTGTATATATATACTAGTATATGAAAACTTTGCATGTACCCTTATGGTTTGTGTGTTTTACTAGTTGTAAGTTATACCTCTGTAGAAAGAAGGGAAGTGGCCCTAAAGAACCTTAAACATTGTTTCTGTCCTGAAGGGAAAAACAGAGGTTAAGGATGACGGATGAACGGAGAGGGAAAACTTAATAAGGGAAAGTTCTGGAAGAAATAAGAGAAGATGAAATCATGAACACCCATGAAGGAGTGTTCTGTGGATGGGAAGAGGGGCATCTATTTTTTTGAGGCTGTTAGGAAGGATGGATAAAGATAAAGATTCATATAAGTGACAGTTCATGAAGTCGAGTCTTAATTTTCTTAGTGAATTAGGAGATAACGAAAAGCCAAGTCTCAATATTGATTGTAACGTGCATTTTCTTGAGTGAACCAACTAACTAATCCTAGGTTATATCCTCTTTGGGGAATTTATGACTGTGATTTCAACCTATCCTGAATTTTCTGTAAGGTGATCCTTTCTTGGACTATTTTAAAACCCTTACTGCACGGGAAGAGAAGGGTAGATAGTAAACTGGAGGTGGAGAAATGATTGCCAAACTCTGTTTTACAAGTTTGTTAACGCTTGCATTGGGCAGGTTTGTTTCTCACAGGCTTTTTTTTTTTTAACCCTCACCCAAGGACGTGTTGAGAAAGATAGATAGATGGTAAATAGATAGGTAGGTAGGTAGGTAGATAGATAGATAGATAGATAGATAGAGATAGAGAGAAGCATTGATGTGAGAGAGAAACATGGATGGGTTGCTTCTGTATGTATCCCAACTGGGGATCAAACCCACAACCTAGGAATGGGCCTTGACTAGGAATTGAACTGACAACCTTTTGGTGCACAGGAGGACATTCAACCAACTGAGCCACTCTGGCAGGGCATGTTTTGCACAGTTTTGATAGCACGATTTGGGTTCCCTCCTCCCAATCTCTAAGGGGGTTGGGAGGGGCAGTAGGTGGGGAAAACTTTGGAAAAGTTACAACTAGTAAATGGCAAAGCTGGGATTTTACCTTCCATTATATTCTGTTGTCTGTTTATAAAATCACTTATGGGAAAATAAAACTTCTGAGATAGTTTGATTTTTTTTCTCATGACCTATTGATTATACTTGTAGAGATAAAAGCTAGTTCTGAAGAATAGATTTTCATTCCTAGATTGTCAAAGTGACTTGTCGCTTGAATCTGTTTTTAAAGTGAGTGTAAAGGCATGATACATTATAAGTTTAGATATATATAAACCAGATTGTATAGGGGACAATTTATTGTTAAATAATAAATACTGTTAAGAAACCATGTTGAACCTGTCATTCTTTCTCTTGTTAATTGTAGTAAGCATTGACTTTCTGTTTTGTGCTCAATCCTGGGTTAGATGTTGAGTGGTCATGGAAACAAATGAAAATGCTGAGTGGTCTAAATTGTGGTCATGGAAACAAATGAAAAACTAGCAGTTAGGTTGTTCTTAAGAATATAGTTACCCAAATATTTACTGAGTTATCTAGATTATCTTGTTATTTTATGTTCCAGTTGCAAAGTTGTTACTGCAAATTTTAAATAAAGATGTTTTGGGGACGAGGGTAGAAACTCTTGAGAAAGAACCGTAATTAGTAACTCTTAGTATCAAATGTGGTGAGTTACCAAACAGCAGTAATATGTGGGGGGTGGGACTGTTGCTTTTGATTTGGAGACCGGTGGGATGGCAGTAGAGTTTTTATGTTTTTGTTGTTGCTTTACTTGCTTAGGAACTTCATATT